TTGAACACACCTGCTCACACTCAGATTCATGGCAAAGCCAAGCCCCTCCGTGTCTTCTCACATTCTTCCCCTCACCTCACATTCCCTTTTCACCTTCAACCATTTTGTCCAAGGAAATGGAGTCACACAGGCCAGGCCCTTGTGACCAAGGCACCAAGAGGTTCCTGTGGCCACACCCTCCGCTCTACACCTGCAGGGGCAGAGGTCAGCTGCCGCAGTCTGTCTGAGCAGAATGGTGGGGCAGTTCACTGAGGCAATCCTGCTAGACGGAGACCATGCAGACAGACAGGGGCTGGAGAAGAGAGCGTAAGAGCCAACAGACAGAAAGAGGCAAAGAAGCTGAGAGGGAAGATTGGAAGGCAGCAGGCAGCCAGACCCAGCAACCCTCATGGCATTCCCAATGGAATCATCCCTGCCAGCACAAGTGAGCCAAATCTTGAGCTCATTTGAATGGCTTCTGTCCCAAACCTGAGTCACTGGGGATTCCATGGACTTCCAAGTTCATTCTCCATGCATTTCCAAAAACAAACTGCTTGATGCTGTCATGGAAAACCTGGATCTTTGCATTCTACAGTTTCACTATGGATTACATCCAGGTCACAACCTAAGTTAGACAGCTGGCAAAAACCAGCCCTGCTGGCTGATTACCCAGCTTTTGTAATGAATCCCAGAGGGATATGAACCCATGTATGTTTCTGGCTCTGCCAAGTCCTGGACACTCTCTCCCCTTGTGGAGACCAATCAGTCTGAGGTTTCTGCTGCCAGAGGAATCTAGGCAGCCACCTGCAGACTCAAGTGCAGAAGCTGTCTCTAGAAAGAAAAGATGTAGAGAAGTGTATGTGAGAGAAAGGGAGGTAGACACAGATCTGCTATTTTCTGCTTCTTAAAACAGTAGTATCTGGTCACACCGAAGACCCAGGATAGTTTTATGCCCTGTAGCCTCAGCCCAAGCAGGCAGTCAAGGAACCAGAAAATGGCAGTATGCAGAGAATTCAGGACTTGAAAACAAGGTTGATTCTAAAGACTATAAAAGCCTGTTCCTTAGAATGCAGCAAATTCTTGGACATACTAAAACCTGGCAAGAAGGCATAAATACTTTTATAATTATCATAGAGCTGCTATTTCCTATATGCCAAGCATTGGGCTCAAGTCTTGCTCACATACTAATTTATCCTCAGACAACCTTAAGTTCTGTATATTATTATACCTATTCACACGTGAACAAACTTGGGGCTTAGAGAAGTGGGGTAGATTGGCCAGTGTTTCCAAACCACTTTAAGGTGAAGCCAAACTCTAATGGTGCCCAAAGGTAGCTGCTGAACACCAAGGGTTTCTACGTAAAGGTAGGAATGATCAGCTTCCTTCCCACCATCAGGCCAGGCCTTGAAAGCAAATCCTGTTGTCTTAGTTAACTTAACTGTAGTTGTTGCTTTTAGGGTAACAGGTAGGAATTTCTATTGAGGTAATAGATTCTTTCATACCTAACTCTAAAATCAAAACATCAACATATGTGTGCATGGCTTTTTTTTTTTTTAAAGGACAGAGTCCTCCTATGTACCTCAGCCTCCTGAGTGCTCAGATTATAGACATGGGCCATCATACCCATTCTTGTTGTTGTTGTTGCTATTTTGTTTTGTTTTGCTGTGAGACAGGGTCTCTCTGTAAACCCAGCAGGCCTGGAACTATGTAGACCAGGCTAGCTTTGACCTCAGAGATCCACCTGCCTCTGCCTCCTGAGTACAGGGATTAAAGGCATGAGCTACCATGCCTGGCATTATTAATATTTCTATATAAACCCATGGACTACTTATTTCTTTAAAATTAGGAATAGGGAGCTGGAGAGATGGATCAGTGGTTAAGAACATTGGCTGCTCTTGCAGAAGTCCTGGGTTCAATTCCCAGCAACCACATGGGGGCTAACAACTGTTCGTAATTCCAGTTCCAGGGAATTTCTGTGGGCTCTGCATGACATGGGTGCACTTACATGCAAGCAATACACTCATACACATAAAATAAAAATAAAATACTTTTAAAATAAAATAAAGTAGAATTAGGTATAGCCAAGGATCATGCTTATGATCTCGTAATTTTTATATTGAATCAAAAATTTTAAAAGTGACATTTTACCAAAAGGCAAGTTACAAGAAGAAATACCACTCAAGTGTTTAACCTTAGGTCTAGGAAGCCCTTCCTCGCTCCCCATTTGCTTCAATGTAAGGAGATCAAGAGGGGGCCTAGCAGAGAAAAGGCCTCACAGTTGTAGATCTGGAGAGGATCAGTCAGTACCTTTCACACTAGTGTGGCTATTTTTGCAGCCATCTATTCCAAGACCAGGCCTGCTGTCTAAACTGGGTTGAACTGCCTGGAATGGACCTCTACCATCAGAGAAGCCCACTGAACTCCTGAACATGGGAAGGATGACTCACCCATCTTTCTCATCATCTCTGTGGTGTACTGTTAGCCTTGCGACAGGGGAACAAGAACAAGTTCTTTCTGGGTACCTTAAGCCAGTGGTCCCCCAGAGAGCTGAGTGGCTAGACAAGAACGTCTGCTTCCTGCCAATTTAAAACTGTGAGTAACTTCAGAATTTCTGAAATGTTGTCCAAGTCATGGGGTGGAGAGAAAATTCAGATTTCTTTAGAAAGTTCAGCCTTTTTAGAGCTGACATGACTAGTGGATTGGCCCTAGAACTAGTGGATTGGCCCTAGAGTGTGCTCTTCTTTCTTCACATCTCTTCTTCAGTGGCCTTATGCAGAGAGAGGTCAGAAAAATTCACTGGAATGTCTGACAAACTGGTCTTTGGTGCACAGATGAACGTTTGTCATTTATGAGAGGCAGCAAACAAGAGCACGAAAAGATGTGTTGGGCTAGCTCAGCCCCAGAGACGGAATTCATTGGGCTGACCCTTGTTATAAACTGCATGTGAAGCTGAGTGTGGTGACCCATGCCTGTAATCCCAGCACTTAGAAGACTCAGGCAGTAGGATTCTTAGGAGTTCAAGGGTAGCCTAAGCCAGTGTGAAAAAGAAAGATAAACACAAAAGAAACTGCATGTGAACAGTCTTCAAGACCAAATGATAAAGGACACCTCCACTTTGTTTCCAGTGACTACAGAGGGCACGTTTTGTGTTGGGGCTCAGATGTCTCACCCCATGTTGTACATGGCCCCTGGCTGGGCCAGAAGACACCTTCTCTGTGAGCGTTTTGGGAGAAGAAGCATTCTTAAGAGGACTCACTGGGACTTCCTCCTGCAAGTCAGCTTACTGATAAGCTCACAACCATGGTATGAAACCATGGAGGGTGGATTCTGCATGATAGAGAATCCTATCTACCTCCAGGGTTTCCCAGGGCCCTCCAAGATGATTGATGAATCCTGAATGCAGACTATGTGTTCATTTTTACTTTCCAAAAGCCTTTGGTAACATTCACAAATGTCTTAAGGTAGACACACCTGAGGCACTGCATCTGAGGAAAAGAAAGTAGGGGCATTTCTCTAACAAGAAAAAGGAACACATACCCAAATGCTTCCATACCTTCTGCCTTTAATGTTCCTTGGAGATGAAGTGCCAAGATAGACTTCAGAATAAATCAAGAGCAAAGACAAAAGGCTTCATAGAATTAGAAGACTGAGATGAAAGCAAACAGATACCAAGGTAATAGCATATGTTCCAGTCTCCCTGCTTTGCACCTGAAGAATGCTGAGGTCCAGGGGACTGGTTCTTTCACCTGAAGTGGAAGTCTTAGTTGTGGCAAAGCTGAAAACTGGAATCCTGGTCTCCCAGATTCTGTGTCTGCCTCTGCCTAGGTCATTCATGGCACAGCTCATCTTGGCAGATAAAGGAGTGCCCTAAGATTGTCACTTGAGAATAACCCCCAGGGAGGCAGTTCACAAGCACAGATGATGTCACCTCTCTTAGCCTATTACCCACATAAGCCTGCATAAGGCCTGCATACAGGGGCCCCTTAGGATTTGAGGAACAGAAAACTTTATCTTATCGGCTATTTGGAAAAACCCCTGTCATTTGATCTGTTTATTTGGAAGCAGCCTTGCTGAGCTCAAGCTTTTGCTATGAGGCCAGTGGAGTCAGTTCACATAGGGTCTGTTGTTTCACCTCCATTGCTGAAGAGCCCAGGCCCTAGATTTCTGCAGTGCTGAGAGGGAACCACCTGTGATCTTCATTAGGGCTGTGGTGGGTTCCTGTTCCACTACAGTTGAGATTAGTAAGTACCTTGTTTAAAAATGGAAACCCCCTTTCTACAGTGAATCTTAAAGCAATAAATAGTTCATTATACATCAATGGGATGTTTTCTAACTCAACCAATACAGTCCCTTTCCCCCTGGACTAACTGCTGCTGCCTTGTGTCAGGATCCACGTTTCAAGCCTCTGGGGAAACTGGGTAATGCTGGGGAGCACCGACCTCTTCTTGCAGCTCACAGCTTAAGACTTTCCACCTACTTCCAACAAGCTCATTAATGAGAACTGCCCCCAAACTGGAAGTTAGCTTGCGTCTTCTGATCTGAGGGCACAGAACATTCTGTCAGGCTCCAGCAGACAATTTAGGTTAGAACATCATTAAACACAGAGCAGCTGATGCTAATCCCTTCCCAGCAGGAGTCCTCAGTCCCCAAAGCTGAAATGACTAGGGCAGCCTGGCTGCCTCTAACTGAACAGAAGCACAGAAGCATTGACATTCCTTTTTAGCAAAGTATTACTGCAGCTGGGACTGGCTCTCAACAAACTCCTCAGATATGCTCCCACACAGGAAGAAAGAGGAGGAATCGTTACTCAAACAAAATCCAACAACTCAGACTCTGAAGGAACATGCCAAGAGAAGGGTCATGAAAACCAAAGACGACCCTGGTCTTCCTGCTGACAGGGGGTGACTTGGGGCTGGGGGTACTGTGCCAAACCCTAAGGTAGCAAATGCAAATCCAGTGCTAGGCTGCAGGCGCAGGTCTAGGTCCGGCTCCCAGGCTCCTCCCCCTGCCCCAGCACTCACCTGCGATTCCTTGCAGGAGTCCACAGACGTTGAAAATGCTTTTCTTCATGATGCTCTGCACACACATGGTGAACACGGACACCAAGGCCACAGTGCAGAGGATGAAGATCCCCATCGCCAGGAAGATAGCAGTGGCCTGCCAGAAGCCGCTGGCGATCTCACCGAAGCTCTCCGCGTAGGGCCCGCACAGCGTGTCCCTCGGGACGTGCTGCACACCCGGGTTGCGGATGCAGCGGGCGTAGATGCCCAAGGTGGGGTGGTAGGGCTCGGGGCCCGCGCTCGCAGGCTCCGCGCCGCTGCGGTTCTTGCCTTTCCCGATCAGCCAGTCTGCGCTCATGAAGGCGATGAGTTCGGCAAAGGCTACCACAATGCTCAGGAGGGTCCAGAGCATCGAGCGGCAGGTGACAATGACATGACACATATTGATGTTCACAGTGGGACAGAGTGGCAGGAGTCCAGGAGGTCAATCAAAAGAGCCGGCAATGAGGCGCGACGCGGCTCGGGTGTCCCAGGAGGGAAGTCGCGGCTGGAGATGTTCACGCTCACGATCGGAGGCGGCGGGAGCAGCGCGGTCTGGGTCCCCGGGCGGCATTCATGCCGAGTGACCGAGTCCTGGGTTTCGATAGCAGCGGCCGCAAGACGGCCTCACCTACGGCCAAGATAGGAGGAGGGCGTGAGAGGCTGGCCAGGCCCCGCCCCG